CAAACACACCTGCCTGTAATTATCACGTGGTGTTCAGGTTCTAATCAATTGGTTCAGGTGTGTTTGATATGGGTAGCTGCTGAAATCTGCAGGAAGGTGGCTCTCCAGGAACAGGGTTGGCCACCCCTGAACTACAGGATTATTGCTGGATTATCATTAACTCTTCCTCAGCCCATTTTTTTTTTTAAGTTGTCAGCCACTGCTGGATTTTTTGATGACTTTCAGCTAAATTTGATGGCCTTTAGAATATTTTCTGCAAGGAATGTATCATAGATATATACACTAGATATCGCATAGGGACCTGGAGCATGTGTCAATAGCGCCGCCACATTGGTACAGTGCTCCCAGGACAAATGTCATTCAACCGCACTAGTCAAGACAGTGTTATTACGTGAAGATGCGGGACTTTAGCGCTGTCTACGGGTGTAGTAACGAGAAAACAAAGAAAACAAAGCACAAAGGCAGAACATTTCATAGGTAATATTAAGTTTTTTTTTCTGTTTTTGTATGTTCTGAACCTTTATGTTCAACAGGTAACGTTATTGATGATAACAGTCACTAACTGCATTCACCATAAGGCAAAGCAGCTCCAACTCGCACTAAACACTCGGCTTATGCTAGTTTTGTTGAATAAAATCAGCAAACAATGCAAAAGAAATATGACAACGAGATGCTGCGCTGCCAGAAAATTGTATTATTGTCGGCTAACGTTAGTGAAAGAGTCGTTCATAACGGAGATTCATTCACAAACGAGTCGCTCCCTCCGTCAGTATGAGAAGTGAAAGCAGGAGAGGAGCTGTGTTTCAGGACATGATTAGATCAAATTTAACAGGGAGGGTGAATAGTACATTTCTGTACACACAACCTTTACCTTGGTCCCGCATTCATTTCAAAGGAGCGCTACCCTGTACCAAGATGGCGGCGCTATTGACGCATTCCGTCCAATAGACAACAATAGGCCAGGCGACATCTAATGTATATATCTATGGGAATGTATGAGCATATTGTATATCAAATTAAAGAACCAAGCTTCTGCATAACAAAAAAACAAACAAACAAAAAATCAATCCTCATTTGTTCATGTTTTATCTCCACTTCAATGCGGATAAGTGCAACATTTCTTTTCTCATGTTGGTCACACTTCAGTGATCATCAAACTAATTTAAATATTAGTCAGAGATAACAAAAGCCAACACATGATACCGTTTTGAAATGAAGGCAGTATTTATTATTAATTGAAAATCTTTTTTTTTAACAGAGATAACACAGAAACTGCCCAATATCATATTAGCACAGAGGGGTCATCCATGCACCCACACTGAGTTTAGCCCAATTTCAGTAATGTTGGCATTTTGTAGACATGGCCTGCTCATGTTTAACCAGTTAAACTCCGCGGACTCTGTGACATCATCGAATTTCGCTTTAAGATTTAAAGGGCTAGCATTGCACCAGACCTCCTTAAGTGGTGTTGTTTGAAAGTGTAGAATCTATATTTAATGCACATATGCATCACTTTGGTTTTTATTCTACTGTACAAAAGTTATTTACACTTAAATACACAGTATTTTGCATACCCGAGCTGGGTATTTTACATTGGTTTATTTTCATATTTTATTTATATGACACATGTACAAGTTATGGCTCAAATGAAAGCTCTTGCTGGTGCTCATACAGTTCTAGCGTTGTTTTTACTGAATTATATTCACATATCAAACAGTTGTCAAATGAATTGTGGTGTTTCCATGGCGCAGAAGTGAAAACAATACATTTATGATCAATAAGCAGCCCCAGATAGCACAGACAGCTGTCATCTCTCACCTTATGCTGTGCGCTTCAGGGCCATTCTCCTCTGTTTTTGAGGTGATGTGCATAAGTAATGCTTTTATATGTCTGACGTGGTCCAAACACAGTGAATTATGTTGGTAACACTTTACAATAAGGTTCAATAGTTAATGCGTTTACTAACATGAACTAATCATGAACAACACATATACAGCCTTTATTAATCATAACTGAACATTTACTAATGCATTAATAACATCCAAGTCCATGCTTGTTAACATTAGTTAATGCACCATGAGTTAACATGAACTAACAATGAACTACTGTATTTTTAACGTTAACTAACATGAACAAATACAGTAGTAGATGTATTGTTCATTGTTTGTTCATGTTAGTAAATGCATTAATTAACATTAACTAATGAACCTTATTGTAAAGTTTGACCATTATGTTTGATCACACAAAAGAATAGTGAAAAATGAAAACAATAATCGCTCCCTGTGGCTTGTACAGCACCTCTCATCAGTTAGGAATACAATAACTTTTGCATAGATTATGGTGGAGACATTTTTCTTTTTTTCTATGATTACAGACATGTGCAGGAACCACCAACATTAATTACAGCACGCTAGACCACACACAACCTAAAAGGCACACTTTCATATTTGAGTTCATATAAAAAAATACAAAAAGCGCCTCTTTTTTGTAGGTGTTTATTATGACACAGACGACATATACAGATATTTTAAACACTTTCAATAGTGTTTTATGAAAATTCAAAGGTTTTTTTTTTTAAAATGATACCAAATTTTTGCATTTACTCCTCTGCATGTGGATTTGGGAAGATTTTAAATTTGGGTAGGCAAAATCCAGGCGGAAATCCCAAAATAGCAGCAGAGTTTAAGTGGTTAAGCTGTATAGATGAGTCTTGAAAATTCCCTAGTAAAATATTATTTACTGTCATCATAGCAAAGATAAAATAAATCAGGTATAGGGGCGAACAATATATATATATATATATATATATATATATATATATATATATATATATATATATATATATATATATATATATATATATATATATATATATATATATATATATATATATATATATATATATATATATATATATATATATATATATATATATATATATATATATATATATATATATACATAGATATATATATATATATATAGATATATATATATATATATACATATATAGATATATATACATACATAGACCCATTTATATATATATATATATATATATATATATATATATATATATATATATATATATATATATATATATATATATATATATATATATATATATATAGATATATAGATATATATATATAGAT